GACAACATTGTCACCAGTGCTGCTATTTACTATATGTACAGTGTAAAATACAGGATTTCTTTAGATTATGTATAAAATTTGAATATATAGATTTGATGTACAATGTATATCAATGTTTAGTTATGGTGGAAGCGTTGTTATTATAAATTAAATTGCTGTTATTATAATTTCTAGTTTTAATCATCACTTTGCGACATTAAATAATATTATTTGTAACGTTACTTTAAAATGTGAATTCATTTTAGTTTCTTTGGATCTCTGACTTTTTGTATTATAATATATATATTTTATAAAAAATTCACTGACTTTTTGTGATTATAATGAACATTCAAATTCATTAGATTATTTTAAATGTACTGTAATAATATCATACTTCAATGAATTCAATATTAGTCAAAGAAAGCTTAGTCCAGCTAAGGATGAATTGCAAAAATTAATCCATGTTTTAATAATAGCATTTTGTCCTTTTCTTTAACTTTAGATATGATAATTTTTATTAGGATTAAACAATGACATTTATATATATTTAATATTAAAAAAATATTATATATATATATTTTTTATCACTTGTGAAAAAAATTTTTACAATAAGATTTGCTAAGAGAGAAAATAAAATATATTTTTATTAACAAGTGTAACAATTAGTTTAATAAGTCGCGTTTCAAATAAGTAGATTCTACATTTTGTTCATATATAGTTTTGCACTATTCATTTTCACTATGTAATTAATTTTTTTAAATTTATTTTTGGTTTTTTGTCAAATTTTTAAGTAATTCATCACAGTGACTTAATGAAAAAAAAAGAATGTAAAATATTCGAAAAAAATATGTATAAATTTTAGCATGAATGGGACCCTTATATAACGCAGTTTTATATTCAAGGCACATATGGTCCACTAAGCAATGTTATGTAAAACAGTTCAGCGTATATATAAAAGTCAGTTGATTCATTCACGATATCATTACGACGAAGAAGTCGTAAAACCGGAATATGGCTTTAGTGCAATCATTATTATACAAAAATATTGTTTAAACCATCTAGGGGATACGTGAATGATATTTCAATGTAAAAGAGAGCGCAATGCAGTTTAATTTAATTAAACTATATATGTAATATAGTGATACTGGATCAACCAACGTCAGACATGAAAAGCAACCTCCTATTCGCGCATTGATATACAGTACATCCTTTCCTACAAGCTTTTTAATAACAATCGACACACAGGATATTACAGCCCAATGAAACTTAGACGCTACAACTGAAACATCTCATCTTGTTGCTGCTCGAGTCTTTGCAAGGAAGTCTTTACTCTTCTTCCTTGCGTCATAACTACAGCAGTTGGAAAGTTATGCATATCACTAGAGGACACTGGTCTGATTGAGTCAGAGGAGGACGTTGAATAGGTATTCGATGTGGGAAATGAGTTTCGCAATTTAGCAGACCCACGCCGTCGTTGTACGTAAACGTCATTACCGTCAGTGCAAAATCTGTAAAAATAATTTATAGACGTAAAGATATTATTTGGAATTTAAAAAATTAATACCTTAATTAAGACGGTCTTAAAGTAAGAACGAACTATGAATATCAGCCTGTGATTGGCTTATTACATCTTAAGACTATACTTAAGATAATCTTAAATATAAAAACTATAAATACTAATCTTCGAGAAATTTTTGTTTTCTATAAACTTGCCTTTCATATTTTTATTAAATGGTCACTTTTTATATAAAACATATGCTAAAAAATATGTAAATTTTATCAAATGTGTATATAAGGCATAGAAAATAACTTACTCACTGTTTCCTTGAGTGCGTTTGACGTCTCTCTTGGCATTGGCTATCGAACTATCCATCTTAGCTAAGAAATCATTAACTGAACCTTCATCGTCGATAGATGACGATATCGAAGAAGGACTAGATACCTATGAATTGCAACATATTCATAAGGCATATGTATCAAGGGATAAAGTGACAATTATTGATGATTCCAAACTTCACTTACATTTGGAGGGACATCATGCTCTTCAGAAGCTGCCAATTCGTCGTTGCACATAGAGGCGGGACTGTCTGCACTGACAGGAATAAGCAAATGTTCCCGTAAAAATAAACTATCCGATGCCCATAATCTATTAATCCTTCTTATTTGTTCTGTCTGTAAGAATTAGAAATGTTAATCTTACATTAGAGGTAACATTTTTTATTTGGAGCAAATAAAATATTGATTAAAATATTATCTCCAGCAAATCAATAAAATAAAAATTGTAATATACACCGGAAAAAATATAACATATATATTTTTTCTTTAAATATTTTATTTCTCAATGAAGTTTAAAGCTCAATAGAATTACGAAAGGTAAGACGGAAGTAATATAAGTTTTGTACTATTTGTTATAATTCTCAATGCAATTGTTTCAGTGAATTTGATCACTAACATCATAACTAGATTAGTATATTTTAAAAAATATCAGAGTGGATTTAACACTCATGAAGTGTCTATGGGTATTGGCAGAGTTATTTGCAGGAGATGCAAAAGAATTTAAATTCAAACGCCAATTGACACTAGATGAATTCATTGACAATATGATGAACAAATTTGGACAGTAAACAAGATGATTCAAGTTTTTGCTCTAATAAGATTTTCTAAAATGAATTTCCTAAAGTTTTATTATAAATGTTAATTAATATTTATGCATTGAGTTTCTGTTCAATTAAAAAAGTTATACTCTGTATTATATGATTTCTTTTTTTCTTGTAGATTTTTTCTTTCTCACTTATTTCATAAGTCAATGGAATGCAAGTGTATCTCTTTATATTAAAGGCTTTATATAAATTATATTAGGTGAAATAGATTAAGAAATGTTTAAACAAATAAGAGAAATGCCAATTTCTATCAAAGCAAATTTATATAAAGTATCTAAAAATGCGGTACAATTTAATAAATTTTAACAATAAAATATGTATATTTTATTAAATATACAATATCATTATTAGATATTTAATTGTTTAAAATGTTTGTATGCTTTTACAAACATTTAAGTAAGTTTGCTAATTTCAATTGTATAACAGTCTTTAATATACACTAATCTAATATAATACAAATAATCCTATCGCCATGAGATTTATTACAAGTATCTCTAATGTTGGCATTCCAAAAATAGATACGGACACAGAGATAATCCATGAACACATAGCTTCTATATAGAAAGTATCTGTGGAAGCCTTAAAAGTATTAAGCATCTCTAAGCATTTTGACTTTCTATGGGATTCTTTTACAAAAGATACATCGTTCATTTATAATATAACAATGTTTCATTCTCTTTCTTTTTCTACAAACAACTAAATAATGATATGTAGTTTTAGAATTGTATCATTGTTGTAGCAAATAAACACAATATATATTGAGACAAATAAATAAGAGGACACTGCACATGGATGAATTGTACCGTAACTCCGTATTTAAGGGCTATTCCTTGAAGGGTGTCCGTAGGACACACTGTGTGCTTCACCAAGCTCTCGGTTCGCGTCATGTGCTTGGCTGTGCTTCCGTACTTCTTCAGGGCTCTTCCAGTATCTCGAATACATCGGCGCTCCTCCATCTCTCTGGCACCGTTCCGTTCCATCGTTAGGCCACCGGAACGCTCACGAAGGACCGGGGTGTACCATAATTCGCGGACGTACGTCTCGGATTGCACGTCTCCGAGTGACAAACTCGCACGAATCTCACATAACCTGTCTGAGAATTTAACGGATTAGACGATTTTATTTTTCGATTGTCGACGACACCTCGCAAGAATTTCGTGTCGTTTCATTGATCTTATCTTCCTCCAAGCTTCCCCGTAAGCAAACGGGAGGACGAGACTGTAGAGAGGACCTAACCACTTACGAGGCGCGTGGAACAACAAATCACTCGAGGAACTTGAAGTAAGCGCCCAGCTCTCATGCCTGGCACGGCATACACGCGTCTACGGAAAACTTTGTCATTTCTCTCAGGATCATCAACGGCTCTCGGTTTGATTTGTGTCCTCGATTCGGTCGGATCACGGGGAATCACGAGATCGCCCGCGGTCTGTGTTCTATGGCTGATCGTATTCAGCTTCAGCTGATTAGCGCGATCGTGCCTGAATGGGAGAGTGCTTTCTTTTTTCTTCTCTCTCTTTGAAATATAGCAATAATTGCGATGCGTTCGCTGAAAGATGATATTATGCGCAAAATGAGAAAGTGAAAGATGAGTGAAGTAAATTTGTAGAATTGTTCTTCTGTCCCGAGAATAATGGGAAAATAATTCTACAAATTCATACTCCAATTTATTTCGCGCTTATTAAAGAAAACCATTCATAAGGATTATCCTCTTCCTCCCCTAATATAATATTAAGAGACGCACCCAGTTTTATGTGCCATCACGCACGGGAAAAAAATCATATCGCATGAAATTTTTCTCACTTGAAGAACACGATCAATCGCTTTTGTTGCGATGACCCCGTTTGTTTACCACAGTAATAGAAAATGGATTTACTCGCTTACGAGCGAGAGGAGGGGGCTTCAGGATGACTAAGATTTGTCTGG